ATATTTACCTCATATCTCATAAATTATGATTGAAAAATTATTTTTGAAAGACTGCAATTTCAAACAAGCCCTAACTTAGCAAACAAGATCGTAACTGCTTTTGAAGTATTCAAACATAAAAGCAGGGGAGATGCTTGTTGCCTATGTTTAATTTTCCCAACCCAACCAATTAGTCATACGCATGCAAGGAATATATTTACCTGAGACACAATACTCTTAACAATTTTTTTTTCAATTTTCCTATTTATTTATAAATATTCAAAAATTAGTTTTTTTTGCCAACAACATTACAAAAATTAGTGAAAGCATAGTTTAACTAATTAAATATCAGAGTAAAATATATTAATTTTCAATTTTATTAAAATTATAAAAACCTACATTTTATTTTCGAACCCTGCATTTTGTTTCAATAATTTACACGGTTAATGACATTTTGTTCATAATTCTAAAATAGTTAAATTTAATGAAAATTAGGTTGAGAATTTGAAATTACTTATTTAAATTTTTAATAAAATCGTGTCCTCCCATCTCTCAATTTTAAATAATTTTAATTAATTCATTATGATAATATTTAAAGAAATGTCTAAAATAATTTTACACTAAAAATAATAAAATTTAAAGTAAATAAACGTCAGTTGATATTGACCAATTTATCATCTATTATGTTCAATTATTAATTCATTAATTTCTTTAAACGTGCTTGAAATTTCATTTTATCAATTTAGTCTTAAAAATTATCAAATAAAAAACTTTATGCGTGGCTAAGAATATTTAAATATGGTTAGAAAATTTAAACATATGTGCAATAAAATTATTTTTGGTAACTATTTCTAAACAATATTTAAGTTAAAAAGGGATATTTCAATACAGAATATGGGATTTGAAAATTAATTAATTATTAAAATATAGAGTAGATATGTGATGAGAGCCTTTGTCGTTCGCCTTGGTTCCCAATCAAAAATAAATCCAAGCAATGCAATATAGTGCAAAACTCAGGTCGTTTCACTTTGAGAAGGCTTTATTTGGAATTCTAAGCAAACTAAGTATCAAAAATAAAGAATTGACTTGAAAATGAATTGATTTTCTTTTTAACTAACTAGTTGGCAAAATTTAAAAGGATGCAAAATGAGTAAATAATTTTTGGATTTTTAGTTTATAAAATGGATATGAATGAAATAAGCAAAGTGAATTAACAAGTGATAGGAAATAAAAAAGCAATCCTCTAGCACAATAATTAAGGCTATCATTACTTCAATTAATTTGGGAGTTAGCTAAACTCAAAAGACTCTACGGGTTACCCCTCAGACTCGGTTTAATTAGAATAATAAACACCAAGCTACCTTCCATATTAATTATTCACAATTAAACTGTTTCAGCACAATTAGCCAAAAAGAAAATCAAAGAAGAGCAATTAACATTTTTAGTCTAATAATCAAGCCATCTTGAATTACCACTGAATGTTCACAATAATTTCAAAACATAGTCTGACCCAGTACAATGTAAAGAAATTAAAGCTAATCACAGCATAATGTTAAATGCTAATCAAATATTCCAACAACTACAACCAATCTCAATACAAATATAAACCATCACAGCCCATTCAAACATTTTAAAATTTATTCTAAGACTTAGAAATCACAACTATAATAAAAAAAGTAAAGATTGGAAGAGCTGAAACTCCCCTTTGAAGCTTTAAGTTCAAGCCATAACCATTGCTCTAGAGAATTAGAAGGATTTAGCTGCTCCTAAACATCATGTTTTCTGGTCCGTCGTTCTGTCTCTGTTCGCCGCCACTCCTCTGGTTCTGTTGCGCAATGTGGAGAGGAAGAAGGTGCAGTTGACGGTGGCAATGGAGACACGAGCAGAGGCAGCAGAACAAAGGAGCTCGCCGTCACTCGCGAGCGCGTCCTCTAGTCCTGTTCACGCCGCTCTCCTCTTTGCGTGTTCGCCTCCCTCTGTTCTGGACGCTCGTTCTCCGTCGCTCCGTTCACTCCCAGGTCCTAGTTCACGCTGCCAGCTCTTCGTGCGTCTTCTCCTTTTTTTTTTCTTTTCCCACGCCGTCAGCTGGCGTGTCGGTGTCTCCTTCCCCCCGAATCCAAGATGATGATAATGAATAATAGGTTATTAGGGGGTGCGTTTTGCTCCCTTTTTTTTTTTAATTATTTTTTAATTATATATTTTTTCTTTTTTTTTCTTTTTTTAATTTTAATTTTAATTTTTAAGTCTTCCAAAAACCTGCAAACAAAATTCAAGGATAAGGTAGCATTAATTGTCCTAAAAAATCAATTAGTCACAATTAAACCAAAATATGACAATTTTGCCCCTATAAAGTAATAATTCAAAATAAAACATAATAAATCAATTAACAATCAATTAAAGCCAAAAGAGACTAATTAAGTTGACAAAACCCATATAAAAGATATCAAAATATATAAAAATAATTGAGTTTGTCAATATGTATTAGATGTACTTTTCTAAATTTACCTCTAATCAAATTATTGACCACCTTCGATATTCTTAACGTCTCTTCCAATTTCTCTCCTGATGTGTTGAATGCCGAATGTTAACGAGGGCTTTCCAATTAAAAGTATTTAAATTTGGGTGATTGTGAACTTTCAAACACGAAAGCACGTGAGATATTAAAAAGGAAAAATTCACAGACAAAGACAACTAAAGCAAATTAATTACAGTCGTTTGGCCATAAAAAAAAGTACAAATTACAGTTGAAAACATGAATTTATATAAAAGGACCAAGGTGTTTTTTTCCAAGAAAATAAATGAATGATAAATTTCCTGACATTATTGACAACATGGATCAGCTGTGAATCTTAAAAGTTGTAAATCTAAAAAAAAAAACAATAATTATAAATAATCTTAAGATCAATTGCAAATAAGTTATAATTTATGAAAGCATTTTTTTTTACAAATTTGTAAAAGATATATAAATTTTAAAAATTTAGTTACAAATTTTGAAGCTTAGTTGTAATTATAAATATTAGAAAATTAGTTGCATATTAATTGTAAATTGTAGTTCTGTAAATCCCAAATGTTTATTTATAAAAAGTGAAAGATATAGCTCTAAGGCTATTTTTTCAGCCGAAACTAATACTAAAAATTTATTTACTAATTTGTGACTAATTTTTCAACTTTTACAATCAAACTCTCAGGTCTTACAGCTCAACAGATATGTAATTGAACTGTGCTGTGGCATGAATATGGTTTTGCCCATTTACCATTTTTATTAAAAACCTTGGTTCTTTTTATGTAATTTCAAAAAATGGTATTTTCTAAATATAATTAATTTGTTGCAGTGATTTCTACTAGATGTCATTTTCCTTGTATAGGAATCAAAATTGAATTTGCTCTGATGATTCTAATTTGTCTGCGCATAACGGTAAAATCAAACTTGTGTGAAGACTAGATTTTACTTGATTAGACCAAAAGGCCCCGGCGGGGCCCGGGGAGATAATAGGGACTTTAATTTTTAAAAAAAAAATTATTTCTTTAATTCAATGATATTTCATAAGCGCACCTAATTCTCTTTCATTATCCCATGACAGAGGCTTACTCAAGGATCATTATTTTTAACTACTACTTTAATTATATTTCTAATAAGTCACTTTTAACGTGTTTAACTAGAATTAAAAAACTTAAATTTATTAACTATATCTTAAAATTTAAATTTTTTAAACTTTATGACAATTTAATATATATTTTTAAAAATAACATTCTACACAATAACAAATATTTAATAATAAAATTGTACATTTATGTGTGAACAAATTTAATGATATGACTTATAAATAAGATAAAATGTATTTTTTAACTTATAAATAGGACAAAAAAGTACAGAAACAGTATTTAAATATTAGGACAAAATAATTAGGTGGGACAGTGATTAATAGAATATATAAAAGTTTTAACCTTTGGCAGCCATCCTCCCGCTGGTAATTCAAGTACTAAAACCTTAAATTATTATAATTAAAAAACCGCTTAGTCTGCATGTTTGAAAAAAAAAAAAAAGGACCAAAGCTTTTGCGAAAAATAATTTTTCAAGCTTTTTTTTTTTTTTTAATGAACTCTTCAAAAAGTTTCAGCCTGCTACCTTCAATTTTTTCTCAACTGAATCTCCAAAAGTCTTCAACCTAGCTAATTAAAACTGTATTTTTAGTACTCTAATTATATATATATTAATTTATTCTTTAATTTTATAAAGTATCTTTTTAATCCTATAATCATAACTTTGTTAACTTTATTAATAAAAAATCTGACAAAAATTCTCAAATGATAATTTTTTGATCAATCCAGTTTATTTATTTAAAATTAAATATAATATGTTTACAGTTGAAAATGCTTTGTTAGCATTTAAAACTATAATGTTGGTATTCTCAGTTAAAAAAACTAACATGTGTTAGCGTCAAATGATTAAAATGACACTTCATAAAATTAAAGGACTAAATAAAGGTCCACTTTTCTTTTCATTTCATTAATCATCATTTATTTATTTGCCATGGAATCTTCAAAATTTACAGAAGTACCACCATCTCGCGCTTATAAAATGGTGTATCCTCGCCACAGCCATATTCATTGGAAGAGGATTACTACAACAAAAGCAAACAAAATTAATGGCTTCTCAATCCACCATGTATCACCAATCCAACCACTCTCTTCCTTCTTTTCCTTCTTCAACTCACTGTTTGTTTTTTTCTTCTCCCATTAATTCTCTCCCCATGACCTTTCATGGTAATCTAAGCTTCATCCAACGATCTCTTCAGAAATATATATATATATATATATATGAAAACATTTATTCTCCTCTATATAATGCTTACATAGTGTTATTACTTATGTCATGTTGTTATAGGGGTTTCGTCGTTGAAGGTTAGAGTGATCGTTTCAGCGAAAAACTCTGAGTTCAGAGCAAGAAGCAGCAGAGGCATATCAGAAACGCCAGAAGTTTCACAACTTGAAAGTTTGACACTTCCAACATACAATTGGAATGGGATTAAGGTTAAGGAAGAAGATGAAGAAGCTTTGGAGGTATAATTCAAAACATTTTAATTAATTTCTTCACTAATCTTAATGCATGATTCTTTCTGGTGAGTTTGATGTCTCACATATATTATTTTGGTTTGGAAAAGGCTTCCGTAATGAATGAGGAGATCAGAGAGAGAGTGGAAGCCATTAGATTGAACTTAGAATCAAATGAAGGAGAGAAGACGATATCACCCTCAGCTTATACTACAGCTTTAGTGGCTCTGGTTGAAGATAAGCATGGAAGTGGGACCCCCCAGTTCCCAGAATCTCTTCAATGGATAATAGACAATCAGCTGCCGGATGGATCCTGGGGAGATGTTCATAAGTTTATGGCTTATGATAGGCTTCTTTGCACCTTAGCTTCAGTGATTGCGTTAACACATTACAAAGTTCATCCTGAAAAAGCTGAGAAAGGTACGTACGTAGTTGAATAATATTGATCAATATTCATATATTAAAGCCTCGAGAACTTTATATTCAAATGTTGTATTTATATACATATAGGGGTTAAATTCTTTAAAGAGAATGTAAACACACTGGAAGCAGAAAACAGAGAGCACATGACATGTGGGTTTGAAGTGATTCTTCCAACACTTCTTCATTTGGCACAGAATTTGAAAATGGATCTGCCTGATGACCTCCCTACCCTCAAAGAGATACTTGCAAGGAGAGATGCCAAGCTCAAAAGGTACACGCAGCTACCAAGCTAGTGTAAAATTACTTAAAAGTAAAAAAAGTGTATTTGTTTTGGATTAAAGAAAGTGGAAGCGGGTAAAATTACTATATATGACAAATAACACATAATTTTTAACTTATATATAGGATACCTATGGCGGTTTTGCACAGTGTTCCTTCATCGTTGCTGTTCAGCTTGGAAGCAATACCAGGGCTTCAATGGGATAAGCTTCAGAATGTGAGAAGCAAAGATGGCTCTTACTTGTTCAGTCCTTCTTCCACTGCTTTTGCTTTCACTCAAAGCAACGACCCTGACTGCCTCAATTACTTAAACAATGTCGCCCAAAACTTTAATAGCGGCGGAGGTACGTCTACATATCAACCTTTCACTAAGTGAAAAGTTATAGGTTTAATCTCACTTATAATCTTAGATAGTTAGTGCATGTCTCTTTAATTTAAAACAAAAAAAAAAATAAAAAACTAGCTTACCAAGAAATATTCTTTTTTCTGATTATGACTAGACACTGTATTGCATAAAAGTATGCAGCAATGTCATGAAATTGATTATTCAAATTGACTAACATTAGGTTTGAATGATTGTGACATTATTTACTTGTGTTTTCTGACATTGTAGCCCCAGATTCTTACCCGGTAGATTTTTTTGAGCCATTATGGATTGTTGATCGATTGGAGCGCTTGGGAATTGCAAGATATTTTCAACCAAAGATAAAAGAGATTTTGGATTATGTTCACAGGTATAACTTTATCATGGAATTGGTTGTTTATAATTTTATGGCTTAAGAAAATAATTTTGATTTAAGTGAAAGCCTTAAATTAAACCCACTTATGAGTCCTATAATCAATAGGAGAAGCCGCCATTAATTTATTAACACAAAACTCAACTATTATATTTATATATAAGAAAATTTATAATAAATTATACTATTTATATGCTATATGAATAGTAAAATCACTCACAAACAAAAGAATAGTATAATTTATAAGAATTAATACATGAGACTCACAATTTATTTTAAAAGATTTATGCGCTCTTAGGCTAATATGATTCAATAAAAACAAGAAATAAACAACAATAGAATTCCGATCACATGCTAGCGATTGCACTTTTTTCAGAAATTGGAATGACAGAGGCATTGGATGGACGAGATATTCAGACCTGCCAGATCTAGACGATACATGTATGGGATTCAGATTACTAAGATTGAACGGCTATGATGTTTCAGCTAGTAAGTAATTAATAATACCAAGTATTACATTAATTACAAATATATATTCATTAATTATTAATTTATCTCTATAAATATCTATATATATAATCGTATAGCAGCACTTCACATAAGTATCTAATAAATGACATTGTTGTGGTTTTGATCATAGACGTATTCAAAACATTTGAGAAAGATGGAGAGTTCTGTTGCTTCCCCGGGCAGACAGACGAAGGGGCATCGGTGATGTTTAATTTTTACAGAGCCACTCAAGTACAATTCCCAGGAGAGACAATTCTTGATGAAGGCAAGAACTTTGCAATCAATTTCTTGACTGAGAAACGAGCTACTAATCAGATTTTTGATAAATGGATCATAGCCAAAGATCTACCTGGCGAGGTATTTTTTAGTCAGGTTTATTTTATGCTTGTAAATAGTGATCCTAATTAGTCATGAAGATTGTTGATTAGATATTTATCATACATAAAAATTAAAATAAGACTCCTCCCATCCCAAATGCAAGGCCTATTTTATACGGTAAATTATATTACAAAGTGAGTCTTATATTTAAGACCAAAGGAATACATTGATAGATAATATTTGTATCTTTTTGTTAAGCTCTTTAAGTAATATTAAACTAACAATTACAGGTGAGTTATGCATTGGACTTTTCCTGGTACGCAAGCCTGCCCCGAGTAGAGACTAGATTTTACTTGGACCAATACGGTGGAGGAGATGATGTCTGGATTTCTAAGACCCTCTACAGGTAACTAATCAAAGTCTTAATCTAAAATATAATTTGAACATTCAGAGTTGAAAAGAAGGTTCTCATCATTTTTTTGCAGGCTGCACAAAGTCAGCAACAACGATAACCTTGAACTTGGAAAATTAGACTATAACAAGTGCCAAGCCTTGCACCGAGCAGAATGGAACAGAATTCAACAGTAAGATCAACCTATATCTCTCTCATTTTTCTGGGCAGCCTGCACAAATGTGAGAAATATTAACTAAAAGTTATGATAATTTTTATACAGGTGGTACTCAGAATGTAGACTAGAAATGTTCGGACTGACCAAAGAAAGGCTTCTTTTGGCTTACTTCTTGGCTACATCCAACATATTTGAACCAGAGAGATCCCAAGAACGACTTGCATGGGTCAAAACTTCTGCTCTTATTCACACACTCAGATCCACATGTCACGACCAACACCAAAGAGAAGCCTTTGTCCATGAATTCAATAACAGCAGTACCTCCTTAAATGAACGGTAATTACACTTCTCACAGAGCCGTCATTATCTAGTAAGTTTTTATTTCTGATTAAAAGTTTAACTTAACAATATATGCATATCACAGATGGCTGAATAAAAACAGGAGCAGGGAGAGTCTTTTAGGGACCTTAATAGAAACTTTGGATTCCTTCTCTCAGAGCTCACCTTCTGCTGGCTTCGATATTCTTCATGATGTCGTAAGTGATCTGTCTATTATTCATGAACTTTTTATAATTAAAATACAATATTGGGTAATTTCATTTGGGACTATTTTGATCTGATTGATTGCAAGCAGTGGAAAAAGTTGCTAATGGGATGGCAAAGAGAAGGAGATAAGGGGGAAGGAGAAGCTGAGCTGTTGGTGAAGATGATAAACTTAAATGCAGGCTACCAACTTTCTCATCACTTACAACTCAATCCTCAGTATCAGAGACTTGTTCAACTCTCTAATCAAATCTGCCACCAATTAAGTTATCTCCAAACCACCAAGGTGATTACTTATTACGTATTACCATCTTCATTAATAATGACATTATTTCATCTTCTTAATGGTAATATATGCATGATGGAGTTCACTTATATATCTGGTTTGAAATTTATATCAGGAAAACAATAGTAATGGAAGCTACAAGGGGAAGCCGGAAATAGGAGTGAAAATGCAAGAGCAGGTACAATTGGTTCTCTCTTCAAATGGCATGGATCTCAACATGAAGAAGACATTCCTCACTGTCACTAGAGGGTTTTACTATGCAGCTCACACAGATCCACAAACTGTCAACTCTCACATTCAAAAAGTCCTCTTTCAGAGAGTCGTGTAACACACACATATATATAGAGTGGCATGTTCTGTCATGATGAGAATGAAATTCAGGATTATTAATCAAGAATAATGCTGAATTTGATGTTGAGAATTTATCAATAAAAAAATTCCAGCTGTTGCCCTCTCTTGCTCGTTGCTCTCTGTCGGCCTCATACGCTCCTGCCTTCGTCGCTTTGTTCTTTTTTTCTTCTTCTTTTTTTTAAAACATTTTCTCGTCATATATAATGTATTCTTGCCAAAATAGGTAATATGATGGCTATTTTCCCCCTTCTTTTTTTCTTTCCTGGATTATCGTTTCTGTATTTAAATATCCATAATGATAATATATGTGTACGCATTCACATATGAAACATTCAGAAAAAAATGAAGAAAACCATTAGATAATATTCATAATTAATTGTAATAATTATATATATTTTGCTATTAATAAGCATTATATGTATGTATATAAATTAAACATTCTTCTTTTTATATTATTGCAAATACATATATAACTCACGCACACTAATTAATAGATGATGGGATTTAAGTGTCTGGGAAAGTAAGAGAATCAACTTTTTTTTTTTCTCGCTGAAAAAAAAAATTATTAAGATAAGCTAGTTTGTTAGAAGTGAAATAATGACATCTCTGTTAAATTAAGAGAGGCGCGACCGACAGATGATAGTTGAAAAGGGATAAGATACAAATTTATCCCAAAATTATGTGGTATGTGGTCAGGAGCTATGAGTATCTGAATTTTTTTTAAGAGCAATATCAAGTGTTAAAAATGTAGCAATTTCAGCCAGCAGAAAGGATAATTTTGACCATTAGTTTGACTTATATATAGCACAATCAGCACAGCCACATCATCACCTAAATAACTTCCTCCCTCTCTCTTCCTCACCATTTCTTCTTCTTCAAAGCCTCCACCCTTCTTCTCCCACTTCCCAAAGCCTTATTGCAGTTGCCGACTCCGCCGCCACCAGCTTCTTCAAGCGGGCAGCCCCTTAAAAATCCACCTCCCACTTCAATGGTTACCATCCCTCCTCCATCTTTTCCATTATCAAGGTCGTCGTCGCTGAGACCATCTTCTAACCCAACGGGCGTCGACCTCTTCCCCATCATGCCAAATTAACAGTCAAAATTAATCTTTCTAACTGTTTGGGTGAGATTGCTATATTTTTTACACCTCTATTACTCCTAAAAGAACTTAGATATCCACAGCTCATTACCATATACTTTCAGGGCAAATTTGTACCTTGTCTTATTTAAAAATGAATCACATCTTCATCTTAAATATAAGCAAGAGATATTCATATTCAAACATTAATAATTAATCATTTAGCATAAAATCAGACGGTCCTACATTTATGTTATTTTATTTAAATAGTCAAGGAAAAGAATGAACACTTGGGAATCCACTAGGTTGGGATCTTGCAGGATGGGAAGAAAGAGTCAAAAGGGTGCTTGTTAAATCAGGTGGGCTCCATCGATCTAAATAGTCCAATCCCCATATGAAAATAATACAGTCTAGACATTATGAATATGATTTTTCATTAAATTTTATTTAAAAATTATAAAATAATTGACGGTGGATGACTTTCTTGGTTAAAATCCATATTCTTAGGATTTTCTTGCTAATAACATGAAATATGTTAATTTAAAACTAACATGAATTGTTATTTAGGATTTGAAAAACAAATGAGATGTCTAACGTTTCATGAAAGTATATATAACTTGGTAGAGATTTATTATGTTGCTCATGATTAAAATACAACTAAATTACACTGTTATAAGAAAAAGTTTTATACCGATTTAAGAAAACTTTATATGCACTGAAATTAGTGTAAAATAGTCTTTCTAGCTTTCTTTTTCGTCATCAGTTTTTCTAACTTTTTACATGATGGAGCATATATAGTAGTACCAGTTATATATATATATATAACCGATGTAAATAATTATTTTAATAAGGGTAGAAAGTTAAAAAAATTAATCATCCTTTATAACACGGTTAAGGCAACTAAAGTTAAATTAATATGTTTTTATTTATAAAAATAAATATATTATATAACAAACGAAAAATACGTGTCAATCTGTTAACTGATTTTTGTTGAATTTTGAAGGATAGTGCAAACTTCTTGGAAGCTTGATATAATAGTCAATAACACGTTGGAAAAGGAAAAGTTAGATATCTTGTTGAATTTGTTTCGCAAAAGTGGGTGGGATTTAGAATATTATTGAAAGTATTCACTGAAAAACAACTGACATCTTAAAATTTAATAAAGTGAAGCAGTTGATTCCTATCTTTTTCCGCCAAAACATCTAGCGTCAAATAAAGTGTAGTAATTGAATTGCCAAACAAAAATTGATCTAAATCACTTTAAGAAGAGACCTTATTATTTATTTTAGTAAGTCTGAAATTTCAAAAATAGTAACAAAAGTTATAAATTACCTAAAAGAGTGGTCTTATTCATTTCTTTTAACAGAAATGAATTTTGAATTTTGAAGAGTTGTCAATTGCTATACAATTATGATTAATAATTAATGAAGTGTGATGAATTGCTAAATAAAAATTTTAAATCACACATGGTTAAAATTTATTAGTTAAGTTACACACACACACACACACACACTCATATTAATTGAAGTTCAACACCCTAATTTGTCATTCTAAAAACTTCAACGTATTTTTCCCGAATTTTCTTAAAATTTTCAGAGTATTCTTCTGTTGGAAAATATTGGCGCCTGGCGGCAACCACAGTCTGACGAGTCAAAGGAGCGTTTGCGAAGAAAGTTCAGTGTGGGGATCTCAGATTCCACAAGGTGCATTTTCTTAATTAGTTAATTTAAATATCATAATTGATGTGAGAATTTTATTAATAGATAACTTATGATACCGTCGTGAGCATTCTCTGAGTTTATGAACAAGCATTAATTATGGGGCCATCCCAGTTATTATTTTTATTAGAACTTTAATGAGCCATCAAAGATTCAAAATTATCTTAATTGAGCCTAGTGAAAGGAATTAATCTCTCTCAACACGATGAACAAATATTTGAATTTCTATTAAAAGAAATATTCACATTTAGTGTCTGACAGCGTATCGAATAGAACTATAAGGCCAATATTTGATACCTTGAACAAGACTACTTACAATAGAGAAATAGCCGGGGGGATTATCTTACCTAAACTTTTCGTTTTTCAAAAAATAAAAGAGCCATTACTTTTTTCATAAAGTCACTCCTAGCTATTTTTGTGGGCCCATCCCAAGATTGGGGTGAAAATTCAACTGATGCAATTTTTTCTTTATGGGTCACAATTAAATCGGTCAAAATAGGTTGCTAACTGAAAAGTGAATTCAAGTCGTATAAAAAGTTGAATAGTATTTTTCTTTTTCTTATTTTTGAATAATAGCCGAGTAATCATAAACTGAAAAATGAAGAATAAAATTTACAAGCTGGTTACACTTTTATATAAAAATTAAAGTTAGACGTAATGAAAATGGACTGTTCTATCTCTCTCTCCTATATGTATATATATGCAAGAGAGCAGCAAACACTTTATGCAAGTCACAGAAAACTTTCCAACATGTTTCTGGGTACTACCATGTCTGTCTCGCGTTCTCAATTTCCTCCTTCGGCTTCTCCAGGTTTCATCTCTCTTTCTCTCTGTCTGCAGATAACTAAGTTTGCAATTATTTGGGTTTTTGAGTTGCTGATAATCATCATTTTCTTAGCTAGTTTAAGGTCCTCATGGCTTAGCTTTTGCTATGTTTGGATGGAAGGAAAAGTTGAAGGAAGAGGGAAGGAAAACTTTCAAAAATAGTGTGTGTGTGTGTGTGTGTGTGTGTATTATTTTAGGGAGTTTTCCCTCCAAATATTCTCTTCTTTCTAATTTTCTTCCTATCCAAACGTAGAGTTAATGTTTGATGCTATCTCAGAGTTTCTGAGTTCAATTATTGGTAGAGAGGTCACCAATCCTAATACTATTTTCACTTAAACAAATCTGACATCAGAGTTCTAATAAGAGCTGATGTATTGGAATCCATGACATGTGAGAAAATCATTATCCTAAAACCAACTTGCGACACACTCAAATGTTGGTTTCCATGCTTATACCATTTCATGATTGCAATCATGGTTTAATATTCCTCATAATTTTTCATTTTGTAAATATTTTCGTGAAGAAAAGGTTACAGCCCATTTTGAAATACTTTTTATTGGGCATTTTTACAATTCATCTTAATATTTTGTGTGTGTGTGTGTATGTAACAAGTCATCATTATATTAAACTTCTTAGAAGCACAGTATCATTATCTGTTAGCGATAAAAAAATGTGAATATCCTTAGTGATATAGTACTTATATGTTACTGTCGTTATTAAGATAATAACAATTAAATAGTTCCGCCGAATTCCTAACAAGTAATCTTTATTTAATATACTATCATTTATCATTAAAAGGGGAAGGCCAAATTTGTTTTGAGAAAAATAATAATTAAAAAGTGAAGGAAAGTACAAGTACTGCTAAATGATTTTCTCCGATCCGAAGACAATTGGTTGGCTTATTTTTTACTTGTGCATCTCATCAATTGTTTTGGTGAATTTAATCTTCATGTAGTATTTATTTAACGTCGGAATCTTCAACTGATTTGGACTGTGTATGTATAAATACATCATTATAGGAAGCCTAACATCTCTCTTTGTTCTTTCATATCTCTCAGCAACTTCAGTTGGATCCATTGCTAATAAGGACAAAGTTCGCAACAGATCTAACATTGTAAGATATCAATCTTCCATTATTTCTCGTATCAACGTAGATCTGATTCCAATATGCCAATTAATTTAATATATATATATCTATCATGGTGAGTTTTCTGAAATGCAGATGGAGATGCACATGTTGGAACAGAAGAAAGAGATAATAAAGAAGATGTTCCAAAAGGTTGAACTGTGTGTATCAAGTTATGACACAGCTTGGGTGGCAATGGTTCCATCACCAACTTGTCCACAATCTCCTTTGTTCCCCCAGTCTCTAAATTGGTTATTAGAAAATCAAAACATTGATGGATCATGGGGTCTTCTTGATGATCGCAATGAGTTATTATTAGCCAAAGACTCACTTCTATCAAGCTTGGCTTGTGTTCTTGCACTTAAGCGATGGAACGTTGGTCAACAGCAAATCAACAGAGGTATATATATTATTGATATAAAATTTTGAATCTTATAAAACCATCTCTCCGTTCCCTTTTTTTTTTTTGGGTGTTGTCTGATTTATATATTTATAAGCTTTTCTCATTGTGTATAGTAAAATAATTGGATGTCTCCCGTGTTAATTGTTGAAGGACTTGGATATATAGAGTCAAAAATTGCTGCAGCTCACGACGATAAGCAACATTCTCCAATCGGATTCGATATTATATTTTCTCATTTAATTGAGCAAGCCCAGAATATGGATCTTAATCTTCCTCTTAGAGGGAAAGGCTTAGAGACATTGACTCAAAAGAGAGAATTGGAGCTCAAAAGGTACCATTATTAATAACTGGATATGTATAAGAAGTCTTCGGACACGTTCATTTGTATTTTGATTTGAGAATCCGAAATAAAATATCTAAATAATATTCTATTAATATGAAAGCAGTGGACGGGCAAGCAACACAGAAGGATGGAAAGCATATGTGGCATACATTTCAGAAGGACTTGGGAAGTCACAAAATTGGGAAATGGCTATGAAATTTCAGAGGAAAAATGGGTCTCTTTTTAACTCTCCAGCAGCCACTGCAGTTGCATACACTCATATTAACGATGCACAATGTCTTGATTATTTAGTTTCTCTACTAGATAAATTTGAAAATGCTGGTTCGTTCTTTCAAACTCACTTTAATTTGATATATTCCCCCCCCTTGCTTGTGTTATATTAATTATTGGGTTTTACACTAACAATTGCTGCGCAAGAGATTTGCTCAGTTCCTGCAATATATCCTCTTGATGTGTATTCTCGACTCCACATGGTTGATAGTCTTGAAAAATTGGGCATTAATCGCCATTTTAAAGAGGAAATCGAAAGTGTACTGGATGATACATGGAGGTAATTCATCTTTAGTATCCATAATATATTGCTTGTGTAGATAACAAGCTTCAAATTGAAGAAGGCTATAGAATCTAATTAATTTAGTCTTCTATTTGATTCTGAAACAGAATGTGGCAGCAAGAAGAAGATGACATAGTTTTAGAACCCACCACATGCGCCATGGCATTTCGTTTACTACGTTTACACGGATATGATGTTTCTTCAGGTTTTTGTATTGTCATAACGCTAAAATTCTGTGTATAGCTAAGAAAGGGATATAAAAGAGATGGCTCATAGATATATATTTGTGCATTTTCAGAAGCTCTTGATCGTTTTTCAGAGAACAATTTTTGGATTACCCTTCAGGGTTATCTCAAGGACGTGGAGGCTGCTTTGGAATTACATAAGGCTTCACAAATAGTTTTACATTCAAATGATTTAGTTTTGAAAGAACTAAACTCTTGGACAGGAAACTTTCTTCATGAATATTCGTCCTCTTCTTCAACAAATACTCATAAACATTATAATCATATTGACCATGAGGTACGTACATATATACGTTATGGATGTATAGTATATCTCAAATTCGATTTTGGCCCTCAGAGTTTGTAACTAATAATAATTCGTATATGTCAATCTCAGGTGGCTTTTGTTTTGGGTTTTCCACATCATGCTTATTTGGATTTGATATTGAACCGAAGATGTATAGAACATTACAAGGTGGATCAAAAGAGAATTTTTAAATCTTCATTTAGGTACATCATAATATTACAACTTTATTTTAATTAATGCAAGATTTTTGAGTTAAATAGATTAGTCACTTTGGATTCTATGACTCTTCTTATTCAGTTCTTTGAGCCTCACAAGTAAAGAATTCCTGGAATTGGGAGTGGAAGACTTCAATCACCGCCAGTTGTTATTTCGTGAAGAACTCGATTTGTTTAATAGGTTAGTAGGCTTTCTACAATACCCGAGGTTGATAATACACTGAAAATTTGAATGTTGCTTTTACATTACATTTAGGAATTTTATATAATTAATGATGGTTAATTAAGTCAAATAGAAGGCATTTGATTATTTTTAAATAAGTTTAAGGAAAATTATTAATCTTTTAGTCCCTATATATATAGTTTTGACTCAATTATTACTTAGTCCCTGCCCACTTTAAATTGTATACAAAGTATATGAGATGAGTTTTATCTCAATTTGCCTGAAAGCACTTTTTAAAAATGCTTTTAGGAGAACCAAATACCCCTTCAGTCTCCATAGTTTCAACTTAATTATAACTCAGTTTATGAAAGTTGACTTATTGCAAGTGAGTCCCTAAAATTTTAATCATTTAAAATTTTATTCCCTATTAGTATATTTTCAAACTAAAAATAAAATTATCTGTTTCATGAAACTTGTGAACTAAAGTTTTAAATGGTTATAGAGGGGCTATATTAAATTGTAGTAAGTCAAAGGTTAGAGATTGGGTTATAATAAGTCAAAACTATAGGGATTAAGTTATATTGACATAAAATCTAAAGACTGAATTACAATTAAACAAAACCTACATGATCAAAAGATTAATTTTCCGCATGTTTGGATGAAAAATATCTTGTGAGCAGAACTATTCCAAATTGAGCACTATAGCATTCAAATTTGATCCTGTAAAATCAGACATTAAAATACTGTACAAAAAAGTACTAATTAATTGTATATATAATGAAGAAGTTAGCGTGTGGATATACATATAAATTTTAAAGCGCAAAGAGCATATCGTTTTAAACATATTCTCTAGTAAAAGCGTTGAATTTGTGTTAACTAGCCTTTTCCTCCTAAGCTAACAATGCCAGTTCTTGAATCACTGATAAGCGTATATATATCATCATAATTAGGTGGCTTATGGAGAGTGAAATGGAGAAACTACATTTTCCAGTTTCAAAAACAAAAGCTGCCTATTGCTTCTTCACGGCTGCTACAACCCTCACTTCCCCCGAACTTCGTGATGCACGTCTGACGTGGGCAACACAAGGCTTTCTAATTTGTGTGGTCGATGATCTCTATGATGTTTGGGGTACTAAAGAGGAACAAATCAATCTCATACAATTGATGCAGGAGTACGACGCGCATTTATAATGAACCTATACACACACACACACACGTAGTTGTCTCTCTATTCAAATTAAATATCTAAGACGAGATTATATATTCTGAACATTGAAACGCAGGTGGGATGTAGATGATGTCCACACAGAAAGTTGTTCTGAGACAGTGAAGCTAATATTTTTAGCACTAAAGGGAACGATTTGTGAGATTGCAGCCAAGGCATATAAAGTTCAAGGACGACGTGTGTTGAACCACTTGATTCAGATTGTGAGATCATAACTAGCTCAATCTCATCTTACTTTTCTAGAGATTAATTCCATTGATGAACTATGTTTTTGTGTTTGTTAATCACATGAATATTGTTTAATTTTCAGTGGGTGGATTTGCTGCAATCTTTTTTGAAAGAAGCAGAATGGCGCAGAAGCAAACGTGTGCCAAGTATAGAAGAATATGAGCGAAACGGAATTATATCAATGGCCCTGGGACCAACTCTCATCCCTTTACTGTATCTTATTGGACCCAAGCTTCCTCAGGCTGTAATCGAAAGTGATGAATATAATTGCCTTTTTGAGGTTGCCAGTCTCTATGGGCGATACCTCAATGATATTAATGGCTACCAGGTTTCCTTCTTCTCTTTGAATTGTTTCTCCTCTGAAATTCTTGAGTTGGAACTCAGTAAGTGAATGGGATTGTATATATATATGTCTGTGCAGAGGGAAAAAGAACAAGGGAAATTGGTGAACTCAGTAACCTTGCGCTTGATTCATGGGTGTGGGGCACAAAGTGAAGAAGAGATCATAAAGAAGATAAAGAGTAAGATTGATAACATGAGAAAAGAGATCCTGAGATTAGTGTTGCTGAAAGAAGGAAGTGTAATTCCAGGGGATATTAAAGATGTGTACTGGAAAATGTGCAGATCACTTCACTTCACTTACAATAAGAAGGATGATGTGGTTCATGCAAAGAAGATGCCTAACGAGATGCTAAACATCGAAGACATAGTTCTCAATAATCCCATCATCTTGAATTCATAAATCACGTAGCTAGCATTTCAATAGGGTCTATGGGAATTGTTCCTATCTATCTGTTATCCCGCTTAAGTCTTAACCTCATGTCTTCAGCGAATGAAGAATGATTCGGAGATTATTAGCATGCACCATATCCATATTGTAAAAGATGAAGTTAAGAAGATAAAAAATTCATCAGCATTAGTACTTTTACTATCAAAGTGTACTGTGATAGGCTCAAAATTGTGTAAACCTATGATTATGCAAGTATATATACAGGTCATGTCAAGTATCAGTGATAAATAGATTATTGTTTCTATAAGATGACTAGTGTAATGATCGATCTCATATGTGTAAGTGTGTGTGTGTGTCTCAAGACAGAAGGCAAATGAACTGAAAATACAGCCATGGTCTTATATTTCAAATACTCGAGCAAATATGGCAGTGTCTGTAACAAGGACAATGTTCAGAATAGAGATTTCCCAGAATAGGATATAGGAGATAGAAATGGCGAAAAGAAGAAAAAAGAAAGACGAAAGCAGAGGAAAATTCAATCAGAGGGAAGGTCACATAGGTCCCATTTGGTAAGAAATATTGAAAATCACGGGTAAGGATTATAATTGTGATTGAAAAAAATTTAGTATGAGGGATTAATTGTCACTTAAAATTGGTTAAACCCATATAGGTGGAATAGAGGAATACTGTGGGAGAAATCTTAAGCAACAAGCAATCCCTTCATATTAAACACTTTTAATGAGTTTTTTTAATCTCGATCTTAATCTTTACTTCTCATTTTTAATACTTCATACTAAACTAGACTATAATTCCTTCCACCCCTTCTGTAACCAATCTCGTTCTTATAATACTGTCTTAGTGGATCCTTTCTCACCTTGCCATCCTAGCCTTGGCTTGGGTTCTCTTTTGGGCCCCCTTCTGAGCCCAATTCTCCTGGGATCATGACAACTTTTTATCAACAATTTCTTTGTAGTTACCAACAAAGATTGGATCTAATAGAAGGGATTTATTTTTCACAACATTACGAATCAAGATTTGAATCCCTGTTGAGAGAAGTACTCATATTTAGTACCCAATAATGTCTTGAATAAAGTTGTCTCTAATAATAAGATACCTGTAATTGGGGGAAAAACTTCCACCTAAGTCATAATCAATGGTTGGATATGTCCAAGAGTCCAATTTTCTACAGTTCTTGTTGAATTCATGCTCTCAGGTTTGCTCTACCATGCTTTGAATGGAAATTCCAAATGGACTAGGACAAAATAGCTTAATTTTGTCCTAGCATGAGAGAAGAAAAGTCGACTTTTGCTTGATAGACGACCAAGACTTTTATATATAATTAAATACAGTTGAGCGATTCCCAGAAATATCTAACTTTTATTTTCATATTTAATTAATATGTTTAATTATATCCAATATTTTAATTATTTCAAATTCTTGAAATGGGCTGAGAAAGCATCGTAATATAGAAAAAAAATGATATTTTAGTAATAAACCCTAATTGGTTCTGATCAAAACTGTTGTCTAAAACTTCCCGTGCTAGTTATGACTGAAATAAGGTAAAAATATTTTTAATCGAATAATTCTGATTTAAGCTGCGCCGAATTCCAAATGAAAGAAAGTTCTAGGAATTTAATTGATAAAAATTAAACTTCATGAACCGAATTGATAACTCACGAAGACTTGAAATGCCAAAAGTTTTATTAGTGCATGCCGAAGACTTGGAGCACCAAAACTTTGTGAACCGAGTTGATAACTAACCGAATTCTGCTTTCCTTTGTTATCAAGATGTTGAGTGCCCTGTTTCTATTAGTGCATGCCTTTTGATTAGATTAAATTAATCAATCTTCAAGACGAGTATCACTCCATTCAATTCAATTCTAAGTATGAAAATTAATTATAGATTTTATTTTGATCTTAAATATAATATTTTAATTTTATTTGTCTCTCATTTTTTTTCAAACTGTCATTTTATTTAGATTCTTGTATGATATATAAACTATACTGAACAAATATTTTAGAAAAATTAACATATATTTTTACAAATAAATAATTTATATATATTCTTTAATATGTATTAGTTAACTAATTTCTATATTTAAAATTGCAGAGAGTACATCATTATCATTACGGAAACTTATCGTTTTGTCTTTATACTTTCAGTAACTTGCGATAGACCTGGACCCAATACAAAGGACAAAGTTGATGGCGGATCTAACATTAATGTAACATATTATCCTTCTATTTCATGCATCTCTATCTAGAATTAAGTCCAATACGCCAAATAATTTCAATTAAAAATGATCATCATAATAATAATAAGATGGTGAATTGTATTAAATGCATATATTAGAGGAGAACAAAGAGAGAATAAAGAAGATGTTAGACAAAGTTGAACTTTCTGTTTCAAGTTATATATGACATAGCTTGGGTGGCAATGATACTATCACCTTATTCTCCAGAAACTCCACGAGTTGTTCACCAAAGACTCTCTTTTATCAACATTGGCTAGTGTTCTTGCTCTTAAGCAATTAATGAGCTGTTGGTGAACAGAAAACTAACAGATGTATTGTATGTAATATAATAATCATCTTTATCTGTCTTCGCTATAGAAGTGTCTTTGAACCAACTCAATATGTGTATAGTTAAGTAATGGGATATATATATATATATATATATATATCATGGTGTGTTGTCGAAGTATTTTAATATATTCAGTCAAACATTGCTTCCGCTTTGGATGATAAGCAACATTCTACAATTAGATTTGATATTATCTTCCCTCATTTACTTGAGCAAGCCCAGAACTTGGATCTCACTCTTCTTCTTGGGGGAAGCGTTTAGAGACATTCATCCAAAGAGAGAATTGGAGATCCAAAGGTACCATTCATAAACAATAATATGCTTCTTTAGCATCTCTTAATTAACTAGCTATGGCATTTTGCAGAGAGTTTTTCATGCGTGGTTCACATATAGATTGCATTTTTCGCAACTTCATAATATAGAACTATTCATAAGGCATAGAGATTCAAATGTGTGTGTGTGTGTGTGTGTTTTTTTTTTTTTTTCAAAATCTATCATATTGAGGAATCCGAAAGAAAAAATTACACTTGAGCTCTTTCGTGTATTGTTGTTGCAGTGGGCTGGGAAGCAAGTCAGAAGGATGGAAAGCATATATGGCATATATCTCAAAAGGATTCAGGAATTCACAGAATTAGGAAATGGCTATGAAGCTTCAAAGAAAAATATGGTTCTTTATTTAACTCTCCGGCCACCACCGCATTAGCATATGCCCATATTACAAAAACACATTTGTCTTGATTATCTATTTTCAATGTTAGATAAATTTGGAAATGCTGGTAATTGATTCCTCCTTATTGCAAACTTTGATGGATTTGTCTTCTATGTGAAAATTATTAGGTTTTCAAACTAATATTTGCTTTTATATATATGAATCTATGCTTTATTCAATTCCAACGGCACATCCTTTTGATGTGTATACTCGACTCCATATGGTTGATAGTCTTGAAAAGTTGGGTATTGATCGTGATTTGAAGGAAGAAATTGGAGGAAACATGGAGGCAATTAACTTTGTGTATTTCAAAAGCTTGAAATTGAAAAAAAAAAAACTTTTATTGTGGAAACCAAGAAGGCTACAAAATTTAATCTCATTTTCTATTTGATTATGAAACAGATCGAATGTGGCAACAGGAAGAAGACCATATATTTTTAGAATCCTGACAAACTCAATTATTTTTATATATTTTGATATCTTTTATATGGATTTTGTCAATTTAATTAGTCCTTTTGACCTTAATTGATTGTTAATTGATTTAATATATTTTATTTTAAATTATTATTTTATAGGGGCAAAATTGTCATGTTTTGGTTTAATTGTGACTATTTGATTTTTGAGGACAATTAATGCTACCTTGTCCTTGAATTTTGTTTGCAGGTTTTTGGAAGATTTAAAAATTAAAATTAAAATTAAAAAAAAAAGAAAATAAAGAAAATAAATAAATAATAATAATAATAAAAAGGGGGAGCAAAACGTTGCATTTTGCTCCCATCCCTGATATCCAATAATCATCTTCTTCACCTTAGAGGCGAGACGAGCTGGACGACGGCAGAGAAAATAAAAATCAGAGAGGGGGAGTAGAGTACGGGAGTAGAAGGACGAACAAGGGGCAAGACCATTGATGGCATTCTCTCCATTCACCATTCATCTTCTCTGTGTCTTCTCACTGGTGGCAGAGAAGACGACGAGAAGGACAGGGAGAGACGCGAGGGTGCTTGCTGGTGGAACAAAAATAGCGAACCAGAGGCAACTTCATCACCTTCCTCTGTTTTCTCTGTGATTTATTCCTGGCAGCACGAATAGATCAGCGGCAGCAGCGTGAACAGAGAAGAGCGAATAGCGATGGTAGAGTGGAAGAGCTTGACAGGAGGCATATACAAGTAGGAGTTGGACAACACTATTAGCATCATCTTCGGCTTCTTCATTGTTTTTCCACACAATCACCAGTATCACTGTCTTCCTTATGGAACTTTGTAGCAGAATATTGATCACAGGAATTCTCATGGCAATCTGTGGCTAAGGTTCTATAATTCTCAAATTCAACAACAATGGCAGGAGCTTGGATCATCAAAGGGGAGTTTTAGTTACTTTAATTTCCTGTCTAATAATTGTTTAACAATTCCTAGGCCTTAGGATAGTTATTGTGATTATTAAAAAATTTGTATTGTTTAATTTGATTATATTTAAGGATTATTGTGACTGGATTATTATTTAGCATTTGACATTGGGCTGTTTATAACTTTAATTTCAATTATAATGTTGTGGTTATGACATTTGTATTGATTTTGGAGTTAATATATTGTGATTTTCTGAGGTGACTTGGAATCTTAAATCATATTGTCTCTTGCTAGCTTTAATTTTGTTGTTTTGGATTTAAGAGTTCTAATTAAGCATTGGTTTTTAGCATCCTTAATCCCATTTTACTATTCTGGTTGTAGTTAGTAAGTTGGAATTTTAGGAAAACATTTTATGACAATTCGAGGTGGCTCGGTTGTTGGATTAAAATCTTAATTATAATTATAAATTCATTGTTTTAACTCTCGTATCTTTTAGAGTGAGGATTGCCTGCGTTGTTGAATTGGAGGATTGATTATTATCATTGTTATTTGTGTGTTTTATTTTCATTTCTTTAATCTTCATTCATTTTAATCATTTTTATATAAAAAGTATTTTAATTTCAATTTAATTCATGGTGTTTAATTAGCAATTA